CAGCTGGACAGCCTGCTTTAGATAACTTTATATGACTTCAGTCAACTAAGAGTGTAGATATTACTTAAGTGCTGTTATACTGTGTTGTTTAAGGAATTGTGATGAGAAAATAGCCTGTGTATGTACAGTACAGACCTCTTATTTTTTTCCTCCAAATATTTTCAGTCCCTATATGCTGGTTGGCATTCTCTCTCTCTCTCTCTCTCTCTCTCTCTCTCTCTCTCTCTCAAACAAAAACCACACACAAACTTTTTATGCTCAACCTAGAATCACTTGGAAAGGGAGTCCAATGAAGGATAGCCTCCATTAGGTTGAATTCAGGACATGTCTGTGGGGAGCTGTCTTGATGGTCTTAACTGATGCGGGAGGACCCAGCCCACTGTGGATGGTAACATTCCCTAGGTAGGGCCTCTAAACTCTACGAGTGGAGAAATCAAGCTGTGCACAAGGAATCAAGTGAGCTGAATGCATTCATTTCTCTGTACTGTTGACTGTGGGTATGATCCGACCAGTTGCCTCAAGTTCCTGTAGCGTGACTTCCCTTCTATGCTGGACTGTAATCTGGAATTCCGAGCTAAAATAAAGCCTTTCTCCCTGAAGTTGTTGTTGGTCAGAATGTTTTATCACAGAGGCAGAAATGAAACTACAGCACCCAGTTATCTGAATCCTTGAATGACGACCCTGGGTTCAGAAGCTGACTGCATGTCTGTAGTTACGCAGTACTGAGGCTTTTCCTGTGGAGACCTGTGGATCCCAGCTCTGGTGGAGGTTCTACCTAAGTATGTGGCCTTGAACCAAGGCAATGACATACTGAGAGACAAAGTCACCTGTCATCTCCCTAAGTGACAGATGAGGGGAACATATAACAAAGGCCTTCCACGTGTGGCACTGGGCTCTACAATTTTGATGTGGTTATCTTTGGCCCTCATCTTCTCAAGAGCTGACCCTGGAGTCTAGTAAAGGAGAGGTACAGGGCTGGGTTTGTGGCTCAGTTGACAGAGTGCTTACCTAGACGCACGAGGCCCAGTACCACTCAGCTACCTGTGGCAGTGCATGCCTGTAATCCCAGTGCTTGGAGGATCAGAAGTTCAAGGTCATCTTTTACAGCCTAGTGAGTTTAAAGCTAACCTGGGCTAAGTGAGGCTATTTAGAAAGAACGGAAAGAAGACAGAAACGAAGGAAGGAAGGGAGGAAGGAAGGAAGGAAAGAGAGACACTGATCTGACTGTATGTCTTTCTAGTAGCTTTACAGGTCCCCCAGGTCTGCTCACTGGGGAACTCCATGATGGAGTTTTTTGCAAGGAAAACCAGCCATCTTAGTAATTCACACTCTCCTTCTAGTAACTTCCATGAATATTTTAGTGTTGAAAGGGCAGCATGAAATGGGTTAGAGATGCTCCGACTAGTAGTAACGAGGAGGGAGCCCGTGGGCTTACAAAGTAGAGCAATCAGACCCACCCAGAGTGATCGATCACCAAGCAGGACTCTACACCTCTTATGATTGAATCTGACTGGCCTCACATCATAAGGGTGAGAAATGAGGAAGAGCCACACTCAGAACAGTATCCATGGTAACAGCTACTGCTTCCAGCCATCAGTCCACACCCCAAATACTTGGTCTATATTAACCCATGTGCTATTCACAGTGGCCCCATGAGGGAGGTTGTCATGGTTTGAATACGAAGTATTTCCTATAGGCTCATGTGTTAGAACGTGGACTTAGCTGGTTGTGGTGTTTGGGGAGGCTATGCAGTGTTTGAGATGGAAGGCCTAGCTGACAGACACAGACCGCTAGGGACAGACTTTGAGGGTGACATCCTGGCCCTGCTTCCAGTTCCATTTCTATGTCCAAAGCTCCCTCTACCTTGGTCCAGCCTACTCCAGACGCCTTCTGAAAATGTGGGCTGATGTTAAACTCTCCTCCCTTAAGTTGTTTCTCTTAGGTATTTGGCACAGTGTCAAGACAAGTAAGAAGTATTTACTATATCTAGTATTTACTATATTTACTATATCTAGTATCTTAGTATTACTAAGAAGTAGTTACTATATCTAGTATTAAGTGAGGAAGCTGAGGCTCAGAGAGGCTAAAGGATGTCTCTGGGGTCACCCAGCTGCTTAGTGGTGGAATTCAGATCAAGGAAACCTGGCCTCAAACAACTGTCTTTTTGCCCCTTGATAAGAACACAGGGTTTATAAGACAGGGTTTATTAGGTCTTTTCCTTGTGCCTGGCTTTGCATATTGAGAAAGGGATCCTTCCAGTGATAGCCAGCCTGACCCACTGAACGAACAGGATTGTTAGGCTTTTGTTTTCTTCTGACAGGGAGTAGGCAGCGTGAGTACGGTCTTGGCCCCCATGCCTGGAGGGCAGACGGCAGAGGCCCACAGTGGCTCCTGCTTGGTGAACCATTGAGACTATTGTTAGATATACACGTGACCCAGCACAGGACAACACCTGAGCCATGGTCCAAGCAAGTTGCTTCTTCTTCTCCCTTGACCTTTAGTGAGGGGACAAGAGTCAAATAAGAAATTTCTTCTCCCGGTAAATTATTCTGCAAGTAAACAAGTCTAGGAAAAGAACAGAGTTTTCAAACTAGTTAACCATTAACCCAGCCTTTCTATTCTAAGCATGCCAGGTATTTGACAGCCCTCTGGGTTCTGACTGGCTTGTCAAGGACATAGTTCACTGTAATTCTCCTTCAGTGCAGAAGTTTAATACACAAGGAACTAATTGTGTCTATTGACTTCCAGACACCCTGGGTTCAATTATGCAATGAGCTAATCACTTCCCTTCATCTTGGTAAATAACATGTCTTTCTAGTTATTGGGAACTGGCTGTAATTCAATAGAACTCAGAAATATTTACTGAACACTTATTATGCATTTGGCACCATGAATGTGGAAATTAGCTCACTCAATCACCATTTCAGTTAATGAGTAGCCAGGGAACACCATGGTACACCAAGCAATGTCTTGGTGCTAAGGGGTCAACAACAAGATTGATGATGGTGATGAAGAAGAACATGACCTTTGACCTCAGATTTGGCCAAGAAAATGAAACTAACATACAAGTACATGTAGAGGTATTCAGAATCTCAAGTTTGGAGGAAGTCTCTGTGCTGTAATCTTAGCTGACTGAGCTGGTCTGGAAAGGAGGGCCAGCATCCCTGGATGCAGTGTGATAAGTAGACCCTGGGAGAAGAGCATCGGATGGACAGGGGCAGCTGTACTAAGAGGGTCCTGTGTCTGCAGCATGAGGGTGGGTCTGGGCAGTGTGGGAAGGCAGAGGGGCAGCGACGTGCAGTCTGGGGAGGAGTTTGCTCTCCATGGCTACTACAGTGGGGACAGGGCAGGGAAGTAAGCACAAGACAGGCATGATTGTCACCCTCATCTCCTCACATGCACCCCAGGAAGGGTAGGAAGGTTGTATTACTTACTTTTCTGTGGTTGTGATACAACTCTGAGACCTCTTACAGAAGGGAGAGTTTATACTTGGGTTAGGGTTCCAGAGGGATAAGAACCCATCATGGTGGGGAGGCATGGCAGGAGGCAGCCAGGCAGAAAGCCGAGGGCTCACATTGTCAAGCACACTCAGGAAGAGAGACGAACTCGAAATGGGGTAAGGCTCTGAACTCTGAAAGCCTACCCCCACGACGTACTTCCTCCAGCAAGGCCACACCTTCTAACCTCCCCCGAACGACACCTCCAGCTGGGGAAAAAGTGTTCACATACTTGAAGCCTATGGGGGACATTCTCATTCAAACCAGGACAGAGGTTGAGAGGTCACTGTAGAGGTCAGGTGACAGACGAAATGGAGTCCAAGGGGGTCTCTTGAGAGAAACAAGGAAGAGGCAAAATAGACCTGGCCTGATAAAGGACTAAATGTGGGCTTGGATGCATCCCAGTCTTTGAATTAGTACAGTAGGACAAGGTTGACATCACTTGGTCTTCATTCTGATGGATCTTCGAAATGCCTGGTCAGATGAAAGTGGGCACAACTCTTCTCAAGTTCTTTTAGACCTACTGAAATATGTGGCTAGATGGATGTGGACACCACCCTGCCTGGGGTCTGCTCATCTGTTCAGTTCAAGGTGGCTTTGAATCCTCCAAGAGGAGCTTTGGGGTGGACATCAGACCACACTGCCTAGAGGCCAGGGATATCTTAGGTAAGTGTTGGCATGCCACCAAAGCCTCTGGAGGCCACAAGAAGAGTTGTGTGATGGAAAGCTGATGGAGCCCAGTGTCCAACATGGGAGGGGAAGGCCAAATGTGCAGAGGGAGTGTTATGAAGAGGGCTCTGCCATCGGAGTCAAGTAGGTGCTTCCAAAGGGAGAAGGGGGCCTGTGGTTCATTCAACTTGCCTAGCATGCATGAAGGGCTTGGATCAATCCCCAGCACTGCACAAACTTGGCATAGTGGTACATGTCTGCAATCTCAGCACTGGGAAGATGGAGGCCCGTCTGGGCTACATGAGACCTTGTTTTAAAAAGACAAAGTAAAAGGAGAGAGAGGTCAGGAACAAGGAAGACAGAAAGGCATCCCTGAGAGTTAGCCGTATGGCAGAGGCAGCTAGATGGAGACCAGGGAAGGCGTGGGTCAGACAACGGGGGTTAGACAGTGAGGCAGGATCACACTGAGATATGGTAACACCGGTCTGAGTGTGCAGGGGCCAGGGGCACAGGAGGGGTCCACAGTGGGGACAGGTCTCCTTAGAGACGGGAAAAGCACTTATGGGAATATGGGAAATCAAGATAGCAGAGCTTGCCTGTTGTTGCTTCCCCTGCCCCCCAGGATGCCTCATTTTACATACAAGTGGTAAGGTTTTGGTGCTATTTGTGGGAAAATGCAGGCCTTAGCCTGTTGATGATGGAGTGCTGACATGGGAACTCTAACTCTGGTGATCGAGAAGCTAGTGGAGGGGGGGCGGTTGTGTGTGTGTGTGTGTGCGTGTGGAAGATGTCCAAGAGGCAACCCCACCTGATCACAGCTTTCTTCTTTTACAGTCAACTTTGACCATTTTCAGATTCTGCGGGCCATTGGTAAAGGAAGTTTTGGAAAGGTAAGACTGATAGACTTCTTTAAATAAAATGTTCTATGAAATCTGAAAGCCCAGACTCTTGGCTTTGAGTGCATGTGTATTCTGAGTCTGCTTTTGTGCTGTGTGCTGGGCACTGGGGAGTTCCTGTTGACAGAAGATTTCAATTTAACAAATTTGAAACACGGACGGAAGTCTGAATAGTTTCCTTTGAACCTGGTATAATTTTATTCTGAAAATGGAATTAAGCACAGAGCCCTGGTTTAGGTGAATTGCAGTGGTAATTAAGTCCAGATTACTAATGCTAGGTCTTCCCTGGGAATTTGACAAGAAAGCGGACCTCCAAACATGCCACAAAACAGCTCTTTCCAGCTCCATAGGCATTTGACGTTTGGAAAATTCATTTGTAAGCCTTGACTATTTGGGGAGAAAGGCTATAAAAATTAGAGGGTAGGATTTTTAGGGTAAAAAGTTGGTTCCCCCAGCGTATCCTAGTCTGTTCCCACAGAAACATCCCTTGGCTGTAATTTTTTGCAAGTATCTGCGGAATACCAATACTCTTTTGTACTTAAGTAACTCCTGTAATTTACATTTTATGGATGAAACTTAGATCTTAATCTTAGATTCAGTAAATAGTAACTGTATTGCTATTTTTTTTATATAGCCGAGACAGAATGCCTGATATAAGCAACTTAAAGGGAGGACGTTTTATTTGGCCATGGATTCATGGGTTTTAGTCCATGGTCACTTGGCTCCGTGCTCTTGGGCAGAACATGAGGGTGGCGGGGCATGTGGCGAAGCTGTTTTCCCTTCCCGGCATACAGTAAGAGGGATGGGCATAGGATGGGGCCAGTGCAAGATTTAGCTCCAGGAGCACGTCCCCTGTGACCCACTTCCTCCAACTAGACCCCATCTCTTACCTTTTACCACCCCACCTCCCCTGTAAGGGCATCCGATTCTAAACCACCAAAGGAGTAAATGCACTGATCAAGTTAGAGCCCTCAGGATCTGCCTGTATGTGGAGGGCCCTCCCAGACATATCCAGAGGTATCCTTCGTCAGTCTGAGACATTTCTCAAACCAATTAAGTTGAGCATCAAGATTAACCCATCACAGTAACTCAGAACGGTAATCTTCCCATGGTGTTGTGAGATGGGAACAATATCTGCTCACCCCAGATAGGGGACCAATGACAGACCAAAGTAAGGATATCACCAAAATCCAACTTGGTGAATCAATGAGTTTTATTGGGGTTACTTACAGGAATGTGGGTGAGGGGTTACTTACAGGAGAAGAATTGACTCAAATACAGATGCATCGCCAAAGCCCACCTCAGCGTGGGTGACAGCTCATGAAATCCAGAAACCTGGAACTCACTGTTCAACAGGCAGCAGCTCAATAGGTGGCAGAGTCTCTTTCAGCAGCTAAGGTGGTCTGAGCCTCTTCCAGCAGCTCCAATGATCTCTGTCTCTTCTAGGAAACTTGGCTGCCCGAGTGCCTCTAGCAGTCCGTAGGGCTCATATACAAGCCAGGAGGAAAAGGCCTAATGTATCTGGTCAGTTTCAGTGACTTCCTGAAGCCATTGAGTCGTTTACTCCCTGAGCTTAAGGAACTTCCCCATAGGATGGAACATTTTACCTCCTGCTAGAACATCTTGTGTCTTAAAGAGTTCCCCTACAAGATGGAAGGTTTCATCTCAGAGGAAATTGTTCACGACACATAATCATGTCAAAGCTGAGACAGAACCCAAGGCTGACTGAAGGTGAGAGACCTGCTCTGCTTCCCTCCTGTACACACCAGCTGCTGTGACCAGCTGCTGCGCTCTCCTGCTCCCATGTCTTCCCCACCATGAAGGACCGCACCCTCAAACTGTGGGCCGTCCTCCCTTCCTTCAGTTTCTTTTGTTAGTTGTTTCCATCATAGCAGTGACAAAAGTAACCAACACACCTGGACCATGTGGCTTTTACTAGAGTTTTCCCCTTAGGATGAGGGGAACCACGTGGTCTTTACAGAGTAACTCTGCCATGTTCCCTGTTGTCCCCTCCGCCTGGGTCACCACAGCCTTAGCTTTCCCAGCTGTCCTCCTGCTGGGAACAAGGACTTGGGTTCTGGGAGTGCCCCAAGTGTGATGACACAGCAGGTCAGGCCAGGTTCATAGACCTCGCGGTTCCAGGGGCCTGAGCCCTGCCCAGTGCCACCTGCCACCCTCTTGCAGGTGGGCTCCGGTGCACCCACAGCTTTCTGACTTGGCTTTTCTTTTCAGAAGGTTCATCTTAGGCAAACTTTATCTTCCTTTCCTGCTCCTCCCTAGTCCATGTTGACTGCCTTTCTATTTTTTAAAATATTTATTATTTTTATTTTATGTGTATGAGTGAACTGCCTGCATGTAAGTGCACCCGTGCCTGCAGAGGTCATAAGAGGGTTTGGATCCCTTGGAAATGGAGTTAGAGGAGCTTCTGTGTGGGTGCTGGGACTGGAACCTGGGTCCTCTATAAGAGCAATCAGCACTGAGCTGTCTCTCCAGCCCCTGCCTTTCTATTTGGGGTCCTTCCAAAGAATGTCTCAAATGACAAAGTTGCCTTCTGGGCGATCATTCCGGCCCCTACCCACCAGTTACTGGGGAGCTGACCAATTGGGCCTCTTTGAAGTAAGGTCCCATCTTACCACCTCTGTTCCTCCACCTGCTGGACTGGGCTCTGTTCCAGAGGGTCTTCCAGAGCATCGGCCAGTCTTCCAGTGTTTATAGGAGGGTGTCATCCTTCCACAGTGTCTTTGTACAAAGAAAGGATCCTGCGGATCCACCTCCACCAGGCAGTCAGCTCGGCAATGTCGCTGGTAGCACGGTATAGGACAGTGCAGAGTGCAACCTGTGCCACTTTCTGCAGATTTGTCTTCATCATCAAACCTTCCAGCTGCTCAGAGGAGTTTTCCCTATTTTCCTGTCTTTGTGCTTGTCCTAGTTTGTTTCTCCATGGCTGTGACAAAATACTCAATACCAACTTGGGGAGGAAAGGGTTTATTTGTCTTACATCTCCTGGGTCACAGTTCATCAGGGAGACCAAGGTAGGAACTCAGGGCAGGAACCTGGAAGCAGGAGCCGGAGCACAGGCCATGGAGGAATGCCGTTTACTGGCTTGCTCCCTGGCCCCTGCTCAGCCTGCTTTCTTATGCAACACAGGCCCACCTGCCCAGGGGTGGCACCACCCACAGTGGGCTGGGCCCTCCCACATCACTCAACAATCAAGAAGATGTGCCACACACATGGCCGCAGTCCAATGGAGGCAGTTCCCCAGTTGAGGCTTCCTCTACCCAGGTGTGTCAAGTTAACACTAAAGCTACCCAGCATAGTGCTTTTAGGATCTTTGCTTTACTGACATGGCTAAAGACCTCACACCATATTGAGAAGCCACCAGGGTGACTTCTCTGCTTTGATCTTAACTTTTTTTTCTTTTTCTTGTGGCTGGAGTGTGTGTGTGCGCGTGTGTGTGTGTGTGTGTGTGTGTGTGTGTGTGTGTTACACGCATGAGGAGGCCTGAGGCTGATGTCGGCTGTCTTTCTTGGTTGATCTCCATCTTACTCGTTGAGGCAGGGTCTCTCAGTTAAACCCAAGGCTCACTGATGAGGCTCATCTGTCTCTCAGTTAAACCCAAGGCTCACTGATGAGGCTCATCTGTCTGGCCAGCTTGCTCCCGTGTCCCCACCTTGTGAGTGTTTTAGAAGCACAGTCAGGCTGCCACGCCCATCCCCCTTTCAAGTGGGTTCCTGGGATCTGAGCTCTGGTCCTCGTGCTTGTGCTTGAAGAGAGATGTGGGCCGTCCTCCCAGCCCCACTTTGTTCCTGCTTTTAGTGGAAAAATTTTGCCATTTGGCCATTAAGGATGGAGTTATCTCTAAGTTCCCTTTATCAGACTAAGGATTTCCTTTCTGTCACATGAACTGTGACAGAAGTCACTGAAGACCAAACTGATGGGAAAGAAGGATGTAATGGGAGACACTGCAAAGGCTGCAGCAGCCAGTTCCCAGACAAGGCCTGGTGCCCCTGGAGGTAGGGAGAGTTTTGTAGATGGGTGAAAAGAGAGTGGTCAGGTCTTACGAGGACGTAAAGCTTTGAGGGTATTTCTTTGTGGGGCTGGTTGTCTGTGGGACATGTCATAAGTTTCTAGACATCAGACTTCAGATGGCCAGGGTCTGCTTGTTAAAGTGGATTTCTCCAGTAGTGTCTGATTGCTCTAAAGCTTATTGCTCTAAAGCTTATTGCTGCCACGCCCATCCCACTTTCACTTGCATGCTATGTTAACTCTTTCTGGGGGTGGCAGTGATGGCCTTGCCCTGAACCCAACTTGTTATGAGCTCAATCAGCCCTATTCTGAGACTAAAACAGCTCAGCACCACCATGTTCTTCAGGACAGTGTCCACAGTAAGAAATTGGTGGTAGTGTTTGTGGTATTTGCTGCTTTAATTTTGCCAAATGCTTTTTACATCTGTTAAAATAGCCATATTGGGAGCTGGAGAGATGGCTCAGTGATTAAGAGCACTAGGTACTCTTGCAGAGGACCTGGGTTCGATTCCCAGTATCCACATGGTGGCTAACAATATCCGAAACTCCAGTTTGGGGGTGGGGGCGGATCTGATGCTCTGACCTCTTCAGGTATTGCACGACACAGGTGCACTTACAAACATCCTTGTCTGGTTCCTGATTGTAATGGGAATGCTTCCGGTTCTTCTCCATTGAGAATGATGTTGGCTGTGGGTTTGTTGTACATAGCTTTAGTTATATTGAGGAATGTCCCCTCCAGTCCAGTTCCATTTAGAACTTTTATCATGAATACATGTTGAATGTTGTGAAAAGCCTTTTCTGCATCTGTTGAGATGACGATGTGTTGTCTTTGAGTCTGCTTATATGATTAATGATGTTTATTGACTTGCATATATTGAACCATCCCTGCATCTCTGGAATAAAGCCTACTTGATCATGGTGAATGACCTTTTTGATGTACATCTGTATGCAGTTTGCAAGTATTTTGTT